AACCCAGAACTAAAACCATTCCCGAGCCCAACTCTTCAGACAAAGATTAGACTGGACTATGGGACGTAAAATGATACTTGTGAAGAGTGTGCTTCTTAGTTCAAGTAGATACATGAGACTAAATGGGCAGCTCCTGTCCAGAGGCGAGATGAGAAGGCAGAGAGGGTCAGGAGCTGTTTGAATGGACACGGGAAATCAGGAGTAGAAAGGAGTGTGCTGTCAGAGTATAGGGAGAGCAATTAGGTTCACATAATAATGTATGTATAAATTTTTGTATGAGAGACTAACTTGAATTGTAAACTTTCACTTAAATTACAATAAAGAAAGTCTTAGTATATAGTGTACCTTTCTGTGCATAAAAAGCATTAAAGAAACACTTCTAGATACACTAAAACATCTTTAATGTAATAAAATAGTAATAATATAATGTTCTAATGCCCATTGCAAAGTAGCGCCTGTTTGTTATTACAAACCATTGTATGTATCTTGAATTTTTAATATGGGTTTTAAGTCAGACGTTCAGCCCGGGGACTGCCTGTATCTAAAAATTGCTTGTTCCTTGTCTCCTCTGAGGAGAGGTTGTGGCTCTTATGTCAGCATTTGGTATGACAGACTGGGTGATGAGAAAAGCAGGAACCAAGCAGGAAACTTAGGGAACAAGATGTAGCTGGATCTTGCTCTGCACAGGAGTCATTACATAGTCTCCTTCTGGAGGTCACGCGCCGGGGGCCACTCAGACCATTTGTTCCCGGGGTATGTTGTGAGAGAATTAGAATAAATTGGGGCTATCATCACTCTCTCTCCCCTCATCCCCGCTCCCAGAGTCATCATCCAAAAGCTTTGAATAAACTGGTTTGCGCCTATAAAGGGTACTACAAAAGTAATCCACGAAATTGAAATTTATAAAAGAGATTACCTAGATGAGTCGTATCAGAAAAGGATTATTTGTTCTGTGGAAGGATTCCCTATAAAGAGTGTTAAATAGGAGTTTCCTCAAGTGTTTTACAGATAACTAATTTCTTCACAGAAGAAAGGGTGGAAAGAATCTTTAAGCATAGGTAGTGGGAAAACTTACAAATTAAAATTCCATTTAAAAAGAAGATAAGTGTATCAGTCAGAGTCCAGTCAGGAGACAAAACTACACAGTAATTTATAAATTTACACCTAAGAATTACTGACTAGTATCAGTGGGTTAACTCTGTGAGGAGAACTCTGAAGCGTACAGGAAGAGCAGATACAGGGGGCAGCCACTCCATTTATCCTGGCAAAGCTTAACCTCATGCCAGCTGACAGAGAAGAAATGTTTATAGGGTCCAGCTCCAGTAGGACGAGACAGGACCGAGAAGAGTAGAGTTGGAGCTGAGAGGCAATAAATGGCTAACGTAGCATAATAAGTATCTCTGAAAGTATGGAAAAGACACAAGAAAATGTCATTCATTTTCTAAAAGTTAGATTTATGCAAACCTTTTGAGTAATACTTTTGGTGCAGAAAGTTAGGTGGGCCTGTTGCAGAACGGATGCACTCCCTCCTGGAATTTGTGCTGTAGGAATAGTACACAGACAAGGCAACAGGTTATGGTGAAAGTGAAAAAGCCCTTCATGACATAACTGAAGTGGACAATATTCATTTCCGCCATTAATCCACGGTACTGCCTTTGAAATTCAACAGAGGAGATGTTAGGTTTTCAGCTTTCCTTGCACTAGACGTCAGTTGTGTTCTTCCCACCTTTCTAGCTGAGGGACAGAGGTAGTGGGATTGAGTGAAGCCACGTGGGGCCTGTTCCCTCGCTGTAGGTTAGTCTGGAGTGAGGCAGGCTTTGTAGGCTTCCCGCCTGCTGCTGAGGGGAGCTCTGACAGGCAGCCTCCTGTCTGTCAGCTAACACTCCTCACCTGCGGGGCCCAGAGACTGCTCAGGTGAGAGGAGCGTAGCAGCCCTGTACTGAGCATATGGATGTCCTCTCCCTTAAGAGACAGACTTTTAAAACCATAAAAGAGGTTTATATCAGTTTAGACTAGACAGCAGAATGAAGGACAGTAGAGGGAAACGCTGGAGTTCGGATTGAATAAGCCATTTTTAGTTCATCTCAGTTTACTCTCTCCATGGACCTTATTTGCCTTTTTTACTGAAATAGGCGACCCACAGGCCTCGAGAGTCCAGTTCTCAAATGCTACCCCCTCAGTGCTGGCCACGCTCGCAGCTCTCGCTGAGACGTCAGCCCCGCTCTCCAACCCACACAGAGCCACAGGTGGGTAAGGGCATCTGCCGGGTGGATGGGTCGCCACTCTCCTCTTGTGTCTTTAAGTCTACAGCAGATGTAATTTGCATGAAATATCAAAGAATCGTGGTTAATTAGGCATCTGGGGACCTGGGATGGTTGAGCCTCAGAAGGACAGTCTGTAAGGGATAGAATCAGAGAAGGCCTGAGTTCTTCCTTGTGTTTCTGCAGTTCCAAGTTGGTTTGCCCTGACTTTAGTTGCTTCGGATTGAAATATTTAGTCTTAGCAGATTTTTTGGAAATACTCTCTATGCTTTGACTGATGCTATCACGGAATGATTCAAAACAGCAGCCTAGATAGCTTCTATTAAAGTATCCAAATACGGGGGCCTGCCTGCCCCCTCTCTCGTTGTTATGCCCAGTGTACTCCAGGCAGGCTGGCTTGTAATTTCACTGGAGATGTTATTTTGGCATTTCCAGTGGAGTTGGGCAGATGCGTGCTGTGTAATGCCTTTCCGATATTTAAAACAAAAAAGTTTCAAGTCACTTAGCCAGAGCTAGTGGTCTATGGGGAAAAGGCTTAGTGCTTCACTTAGGTAAAGGCAAGGTTCAGTAGTCATCCAAGAATCCTTCTGGAACCCTCTGGGTCTCTGCTCTATCATAAATAAAAGCAGATTGTTCTGAATTCTTTCTGCTGTTGACATCTGGGTGGTGGGAACATTGTTCCAGGCCTGTTTTTCCTCCCAGCAGCCGTCATGGAGATCTCCTCAGACGGGCGTGAGTGGACAGTATGGCAGAGGGGGAAGGAATGGATTAAACTTGTTCTGGCTGTCCTGTCGTTTTACTGTTTGATCTTGGATAAATCACCTAATTTCTCCAGGTCTCAGTTTCTTTGTCTCTAGCATGATGGTTGGATTAGCTTTTCTGTCAAGGTCCTTCCAGCTCTAACATATCCTGGTTCTTTGCTTCTAAGAGGTGTGAAAGCTCTATTTCCATTGAACTACCTGAATGTGTCTGATATGGATAGTCCATATCCCATTTGTTGCAAAGTTTTACCTACTCTTTAGATAAAGAAATTCCATAGAGGTAGTAACCGTTTCCCCTAATAACCTGTCGCCATCGGGTTGATTCCAACTCATAGCAACCCTATAGGACAGAGTAGAACCGCACCATAGGGTTTCCAAGGCTGTAATCTTCTACAGAAGCAGACTGCCACATTGTTCTCTCATGGAGCGGTTGGCGGGTTCAAACTGATGACCTTTTGGTTAGCAGCTGAGCTCTTAACCACTGCGCCACCAGGGCATCTCTTTCCCTGAATAGTGTTTAGTTTATTGGGATATTGGCTAATCAAACTGAAAATCTTGATTCAACATAATACATGTAAAGCTTCTAGAAAGGTACCTGGCACATAGTAAGTGTTAGCGGCTATTAAGGTTACTGCTGATCTGTTAGGTGGGAGAAGCCATCTGCTTTTTTTTGCCTATTAAACTTCTTTAGTGCTTTGACTATTTGATATATTGTTTTGTTACTTCACTATGAAATGTCTCCATTTTCTTTTAGAAATAGATCTACTCTAATTTATGGGTTTTTTCCCCCTAAGTTCCTCAGATTTATTTAGGCTTTAAAGATCCTCCCTGAAAAACAGGTTCTAAGTTCAAGTATGTTTGGGAAATTCAACCTATCTTACCCTTCACTGAAGACTGAAGGTGCGTATTAGTCTGTTACGGTCTCTGATATTTCCTACAAAACAAACAAACAAGTTTAAGCATCCTGAGAACAGCATTTGAAAGCTCATTTGCAAATAATCCATATTTAGTGCCAGCTGTTCACATCTCACTGAGGACATTCTAGAAAATACTCTTCTCATGCAGCCCCGTCTTCTCTTCTCCTCTGACTTAGCATTGTTCACAAGAGCTTGCTTTTGTGAACTGCTGAATCCAACAGCGTTTTCAAGTTTCCCTCTGTCCCTGAATATTATCAGTTTCAAGGAGGCTAAAATTGCTGTACTCGTGTTTTGTGTTATTTTGTTTTTTAAAGCTGACGTTTTAAATTTACTTCTGTCATCTCTAGACAGTTCAGAGGAAATGGTAGAAGGCAATTCTGTTGACTCATCACTCCAGCAAGTGGTGGGGAGTGGAGGCCAGAGGGTCATCACCATAGTGACCGACGGAGTCCCTCTGGGTAGTCTCCAGACAGCAATCCCTACTGGAGGCATTGGCCAGCCATTTATTGTGACGATGCAAGATGGGCAGCAAGGTGAGTTGTCCCGGTTAGACAACTGCTGATTAAGTATTTTAGACGCTCAACACTTAGCTAAAACCAAGGCATTAAGGCACAGAGTGGCAATGGGAAGATGGCAGGTGCAGGATGGGTGAAGAAGCAGTGAAAAAGAAGAAAAAACCAGTCTGGCAAAGGTTAATTTCCCTAAGATATATATGAGATTTGAGGGCGAGAACCAGTCTGGTAGAAAAAAGAGCAAATAATAAGAACCAATAGTGCACAGAAAAGAAAACACTGATGGCTCTTAAAAATATGAAAATGTGTTCAACCTACGACATTCATAACTAGAGAAATGCACGTAAGTGCTGCACTAAGCCACCAGGGTGCCGTCAGGGTGCCAGGAAATAGAAACTCTCGAGTAGCACTGGGGAGAGCGTGAGTTAGTGCAGCCTTCAGAGAGCAAATCGGCAGCACCCATCGGTATTAACAGTGCACATACCCTTTGGCTGACAAGTTTTTCTCCTCCGTAGGAATTTCTCCTCACACACAGAGAAATGACACGTATACCAGCGTATTCACTAGAGAGTTATTTCTAATAGCCAAAGATAAAAAAGAGCCCGCATATATGTCAGTAGGGGAATGAATGAATAAATTATGGTACACCTAAACAATGGAATACTCCGCAGCTATAAAAAGGAAAACAACAACAAGGAAACTTCTTCTATACCAGTGTGGTCCAACTGCCAAAACATACCGTTCGGTGGCGAGAGCAAGATGCCAGGCAGTGTGTGTGTCACATGCCACAGAGCCTCAGACTGTCTCTGGGAGAACGTACAGGACGCTGATAACACTGGTCACTTCCAGAAGGCTAGCTAGGGGTGGGTGGGAAGCTTTTCACTGAATACACTTCCATAGCTTTTGATTTTTGAACATGTGAATATATTATTGAAAAAATAAGTGTTGAGATGATTTATCACGTTTATAAAAATAAACTGCATCTAAGAAGTAAAAAAAAAAAAAAATTTTTTTAAAAAGAAGCCAGTGTATCATAACTTTATTCCTTAAAAATATTGGAGGTTGAAAAACGGAGGATTGGTATCATTGCGTTTCTCTGTGTCACCACATCTGGCTTGGTCTAAATGATTGTGAGGGTTTTCTCATTTTCAGATTGTTCGAGGAGATGAATCTCTGCTGTATGGAAAGAGAGAATAGGAATAAAATCTTTATAATCCAACCTTGTTACCATAAATCCTTATTAGTCCTATTTGGAAATATACTACTGCTATTTTTGTGAACATGATGATCATTTTAAGGTTTCTTTTTTGTTGGGGGGGGTCACTGGGTAGGTGAGAGACTGCTTATAATGGAGACAAATAAATGAGAACAGAGTTGGTTTGGAGTAAAAGAATAGAATTTGAGGTTTTGCCTAGGTGAACTACTCTTACTAATGTGTTTAACCAGGTCCAAGGAAGGAACACTGAGATTCTGTGAATTACCTACAGCAGGTTTTAAATCCCTGACCAAACTCCCATCTTCACTCAGCGTAGGTCTAAGCTGCTTTCCACTGTCACCACCTGATGTGTCTCTAGGAAATACAAGCTAATTTTTAAATCAGCTAAACCAAATAACTAGGTAAATTCTTCTGTTAAATCATAATACATCCGAAAACCTAAATATACATTTTGAACCTTTATTTTGAGGTAACTGTAGATTCATGTACAACTGTGAGGAATAATACAGAGATAGCCCGTATACCCTTCACCCGTTTTCCTCCACTGTTAACAGCCTGCATAGCTGTGGTATAATATCACAACCAGGAGATGGATCCTGCTACCGTCCATCAGCCCGACTGAGATGGTCCGGTTTCACGTGTACCTGTTTGTGTTTGTGTGTGTGTGCGCTTAGTTCTGTGCCGTTTAATACATGTGTAGACTTGTGTATGTACCACCAGAGTGAAGATGCAGACTAGTCCATCACAAGGATCCCCAGTGCTCCCCTTCTGTATCCACAGACACCTCCTTCCTTCCCCACCCTCCCCGTTCCTAACCCCTGGCAACCACCCATCTAATCTGCCCTCCCATCTCTGTATTTTTGTCATTTTAAGAATGTTATGTAAATAGAATTATACCACATGTAACCTTTTGAGATCGACTTTTTTTACATAATTCCCTTAAGAGCCATTGAAGTTGTATCAGCAGTTCGCTCCTTTGCTTGCTGAGTGTTACGCCAAGGTATGGATGTACCAAAGTTTGTTTAACCATTGAAGGACATTTGAGTTGTTTCCAGTTTTTGGCTATCACTAATAAAGCTGCTGTGAACTGTCATGTATAGGTTTTTACGTAAACGCAGGTTTTCATTTCTCTGGGATAGACGCTCAAGAGCGCAGTGGCTGGGTTGTATGGCGAATGCGTGTTTAGTTTTGTAAGAAACTGCCAACTGTTTCCTAGAGTGACTGCCGTTTTACATTCCCACCAGTGATGTGTGAATCATCCAGTTTCCTCGTCAGCATTGGCATCGTTAACGTTTTTCATGTTAGCCATTCTGATAGGTGTGTGGTACCTCTTGTGTGTGTTGTGTTCCTGTGTTTGTGTTGACCCTTCTCTCACACGTCTCTGAAAAGAGAAACAATTAATTAGGTACAGTTAATGGCAAACTGCTTTCATTAGAGGTTTCTCAAAAATCTTAGGTAGAGACTTCAGACCTTCTTTAGACAGGTTATTCCTGCAGAATAGAGAAGCTGATTGGTCATAGCATCTTTTATTAGAACCTCAGATACAAGACTTACCTGTAAGGCTTCCAGACCTGCACATCACTACCCTTCCTTTCTGGGGCCTTCTTAGTGCCTCGCTAATCCTTTATGTTTCTCTCTGCAAGGCCATGGTTTACTTACTGATTCTAAAACCCAAAGAAATATGAAAAATAAGATATTGGAGAACATATTTCAAATTTTTAAACTAAAACTAAAATCTCTTTGTCTTGCTGCGTATTCATTTACCTGCAATTGGTGTCCTTTGGCTTGTAGTTCTAACTGTGCCTGCCGGTCAGGTTGCAGAGGAGACTGTAATTGAAGAGGAGGAGGAAGAAGTAGAGAAGCTGCCGACGACTAAGAAACCAAGGATGGGAGAGATGGCAGACAGTGTGGAGGAAAGGAAGGTAATGTTTGTAGCAGTGGTGGAGGGAAGAGACGGGAAGGCATCAAAAGCCCTGAGTCTTGGCCTGAAGCCTTCTTCATCTTTTTGTCTCCCCTTGGATAATCTCTTACAGGAAGGCAGTGAACGAGCCCTCCTCCAGCAGCAGCTCCAGGAGGCCCATCGCAGAGCTCAGGAATACCGCCACCAGCTGCTGCAGAAGGAGCAGGAGGCAGAACGGTACCGCCTCAGGCTGGAGGCCATGGCCCGCCAGCAGCCCAACGGAGTAGATATCGCCGTGGTTGAAGAGGTGGCCGAGGTAGATGCTGTTGTAGTCACAGAGGGGGAGGTCGAAGGGAGAGGGACAGAAATGACGGGGGCACCAGAGACCTTGGAGCCTCATAGCGGAGTTTCCATGGAAACGGTTTCATCTTAACATGCAAGGGCCACAACTTGGGCTGTGTCCGTCTTTTTTACTTTGAAAGAGAAGACACGGGACAAACGTGATCTAAAACTTAACGGCTGTCCGTAAGAAGAAAACTATAGCAGGGTACAGTGCTTAGGCTCAGGAAAGCTCTCTCTGCAACTGGAAAATTGAAAGCCAAATTGAGGGGACATTTCTCCTGAGGGGCCAAAAGAATAAGGACCAAATTACTCAGCTCACATCATTACTTTAAGAATAGAGGTAAAAGAATGCCGGCTGTTAATGGGTTCAGTCATTGTTTTTTAAATAACTGACTTTCTATCAAAATATTTTAAGATAACATTCCTCATACATACACACCCAGAGCCTTTAATAATTGTACCATCAAGTGACCTGAAAATTTGCCTTGGATTTATGATGCATATCTGTTAGAGAAGAAAACTAATTGGGAGGGGGCGTTGGAAGCCAGCTCTGGGGAAGAGAGAAGGAAAATCACTGCCAAAGGAGTGAGCACTCCCAACTGTCCTAAGTTAACATCACTGAAAAGAAATATGTGCAATGGCCTGGCAAATTTACACCCATTCTGTGTCATAGCTCAGATACTGTTGTTAAAGAAACTGAAATAGAGTTTGTAAAACCAGAAGGGAAAGAAAACTTAATTTATGTGGGAGATGTGTATGTGAAACCAAAATCCTTCAGGCTGTGCTTCCACAATGCTGGCAGGTGGCCTAGAAGAGGCTTCTGGGGTTATGGAACAATCTGGCCTTAAGATACAAACCTTACGCGGGCTGGATTTTGTAAAATCGCCAACAGGAGGGTAGTCTGTTGTCAGAACAACTTACCTTCAGACATTTCTTTATGTGATTTCAAGCTCAGATTCTTTAATTTTATAAAACTGTTGAATTTTATAACTGTCACCTAGGATAGACATGTGCCTTTCTGTGAAGCTTAGATGTTAGCCTCTTAAATGCAAAAAAAAAAAAAAAGGCCAGCGATGAATGCCGAGCATATCGTGTAGTTTTGTTTCTGCTGACTTGGGATGAGGACGCTGCCCTGTTTCCTTAAGCTTGGGCCTGCTGCAAAGCTCTGTGCCCGCAGGTGCTCAGTGCTTAGGGTCGGCAAAGGGAGTGAGAACAGTCAGTGCCATAAAGGAAGGAACCAAAGATTCTGGCCGGGTCCTTTGTCTCCTATTCCCCCTTCTCTCCCACGATGTCTGCTGCCTCTGCCCAGAGACTTCTGGGAAGCGTTTCACTGCTGGGTTTTCTCTATTGGTCAACATGGAGTTTTCGCAAAAGAAAGAACACGGATGGAGAGAGAGAAGTTGGAGGAGGCTGCGTACAAGAGGTTATTGCCTTTGAAATTGGCCCTCATTGTTCTAGCCTTGCTTGCTCACTTTGTAGTCGATTAGAAGGAGAAACCCAAGGGAGATGTGCCAAGGAAACACTGGAATGACTGTTTAGAATACGGTTTTCTTAATAGCGATCATGGGGAAAACATGCAGTTTTAATTTGGAAAACAAACTTGACAGTTAACATGGCTCCATTTACCTTGATTAGCAAAGTAGTTTGCTGCGGTTTTCCAGAGGTGCAGAATGATTTTGGGCTCAAAATAGACTGAAAACATAACTCCCTAAACCAAATTTAACAGACAGAATTGGCTACTAGAGGTTTATAGGCAAAAAATCTGTTTTGAAATTGTCTTGGCTACTGGTCACCTTAGCTACGTTTTCTCCACTGACCTGAGTCCTGAGCACTTCCCAGGTGAGCAGAGAGTGCTTGATGCTGTTGGGGAGGGGCCTTCGTTAGGGTGAGCGGGGAACTGTGGTGTCTGCTGTCAGATCATCTTGTCCCGGTTTGTGATGTTTTCTCTCTATTCTGCTTCCCTTTGGGAACCAGGTGCTAACAGTAAGCTGCTATATGTGCCATTTCAGAGCCTTACTTTAACTAGAGGGACCAGGTACCATTAGTTTATGTTGTTAGTTCGTATGTTGACTTTAATTCCTTTTTTAAATAAATTATATATACATGTAATGGGGTGGAGGAGAACTCTTCAGAAGATACCCAGACCCAGCTATTCACTCGGGGGTAGCTAATGATTGGGGGCACTCCCTTCTGAGCACACAGCAGAGTTCCCACTTTTAGCAGGGGGGGAATTGTTTAATTCTTTTTATTCTCTTCTTCTAGGAGGCTGTCATTCCCACCCCAAAATTCTCTACTACAATCCAAGTCATTTTTGATGACGGGGTCTCTCAGATCCAGGAGTTTGTTAGCGGAGGGGCTGGGAGGGAGAGAAGGGACTGTCTGGAAAGGGGCAGATAGCAGAAAGAGTCGTTTTTATTTACTTGGACTGGACCTTTCAGCACCCCCGACAAGGGGAGCAGAAAGTGCTCTCCAGCTGTATTGCCACTGAGAGAACAGTAGGTCAGGAGACCTTGAAGTAGTTAGCAGTTGACTATTAAGTGCAGTAACGGCAATGCCATTTCAGGATTTTGCTTATCTTTCTGGATCAGCCCTGAAAGTTGGGAAAACGTTGCTTACCTGGTTTGGGAGACTTCCTGGCAGCTGAGATGACAGAAGGTCAGACAGCAGTGCCCCTCCCCGGACAGGGGATTCAGAGTTGGTACTTGAGCAGGAGGAACCTGGAGTCTAGGATGGTTGCCTACTTCTAAATAAAGCTCCTTCAGCAGTATCAGTATTGATGTCAGGAATTTAGACTCTACATTTGCATTTTGGTCTTAAGCCTACCCCCACCCCCAGAAGAGGAAGAAATAAATCTTAATTTCTTGTTCCTAGCTTCAGGGAAATTAATTATAAACCTGCATTCCCTTCCCATCACTACCTCTGTGGGATCTCTTGATTGTCTTGCCAGAATTAGGGTCTCTTAATTAAAATATGGAAAAAGTTGGCTTTCGATTTTCTGTTTTTTAACCCAGTGCCTTAAGAGATGTTCTTTTTTTTCTGTAAGATCTGTGTTCAGTTATTTTTGGTTTTGCCTTTACCTCTTCTTCAGCCTTACCATTGCTTTATTAAAATTTTTGTGTCTGGTCAGTAATGTTAGAAATCTATGGCATATGAAATGATTTCTTTTTTTCTATTGGTGTAAAAGAAATTAATTTACAGAGGGCTCTCCAGATGAAGTAGGTATTGTATGACCAGGGTGCTTTTTGAATATCCCATTGCTGAGTGTATGTTACTGTGTACATTTATAAATACATATGGATTTCCCCACTTTTCTCTTTGATTATTTGAGATTCAGCTCTCAAGTACCTGGTATAACCTGGAAATATTCTTATTTCATTAAACACATAGAGAAGGTTTCTTAGGATTGCCTGAAAATGTGCACAGTATGGGGACTGAGAAAGAGAAAGCATTGCTTTGATTCTCTCTGAGAGACGTGTCTGTTGGAAGGTGCTCTGACAGGCAGTAATGAGAGACCGACTGGAGGGAGGGGTGAGTCCCCAGGGAGAGGCAGCACCTGGCTTTAGAGGGATTTGTTGAGCATACAGTGTGATGATGCCATGCACACTGAGAGATTCAGAGTAGTGTCAGAGGGAGAGCTGGAAGTGCCCCTCCACAGGGCAGGCCTCCTTTCTGCTCCTATGGTAGCTGTTTTGACTGGCACTTGCAAATCTCGTACATCTCTGAACAGGAAGGAAACCCCAGGTAAAGGGCCATCGCAGAAGGAGCAGACATTCTATACATCCACTTTCCTAGTTTGGAAATCTCATCATTTTGGGGAGAAAGTGTGCGTGGCTTTCTCCTGAAAACATACGGGCCCTCAGAGCTAGACATGTGACGCGCAGAATTTAGTATTGAGTGGGAAACATTTTTTGTCATATTTTATTGGAAAATGGCCTTCTGTTCTCCTGTAGGCAGACCCATCTTTGTTCTGCTGGAAAAGCTTTGGAATGGAATACACGTCAGACCACCTATGTGCTGCTGTAGGCTCTTACCTATTTCTATTTTATAGGATGGATTTTCCCCCTTCTGAGTTAGCACTCTATTTCCTATGCCAATTTAGTTAACAAGAGACCAGGAGCAAGAAGGATGTGAATCAGAATCAGGTCGCTTTGAGCTTCTGGTGTGGCCTTCCTCTGAGCCCCGCTAGGATTAGGGGTGGGGTGACATCCCTAGACTCTACAGCAGCAATTTGGCTTGTTAATGGCAGGAAATTGTGATTCCCTATCTCCGTCTCCCCCAACAACTTCTGCTTCTGTGACCCCATTAATTCTTACCTCATTGAGTTTTTCCCAGGTACTAGAACTTAATTAGCAGGTCATTTCTAATCTGTGGGCCTTGTCTTTTCTCTCTCCACTCTCCTCCTTCCCCACCACATATTTTCTGTTTATTCAAAGGTGGTTGTTGCTGATAATTAATCTAGGTCACACCCTGTATCCTATGCTTCCCAGTCGGTTACAGGAATGTTGCTTTATCAACGATAACGGTAGCAGCTCCTTCCCTGCCAGGCGCTGTGTGTCTCTCCTCCTGCCTTCTGCCAAGGCCGTTTGTGTGTGGTGGGGAGAAGGCATGGGGGTGGGGGGCTAGATTCTGCTCAAAGTGCCCTCAGTTTTTCAGGTTGTCTGACAGCTTTATGTACAGTATATTTTTAGGAAAGCTTAAATATAATTCTCTTTTTTATTTAGCATTTTAATGAAATAGGGTTTGATTCTGATGAGCAAGTTTGTGTATGTATGTATGTATGGGTGAGCATTGTGTGTAACTATACAGATCTATATTATATATGCAGTTTTTGTACTGTCATTTAAAAGAAAGATGTTTCTTAATAAAATGTCAAAGTCTTACCATCTCAGGGTGTCACTGGATTATTTTTAGTCTCCTGGTCAAAAACTGTATCTACTCCGCGATCACAGATAAACTTCAGTAGCAAGTTTTCCCTGCCCAGCTGATCTAATGAGGAAACCCCTGTTGGCATCTTTTCTAACCTAATTCACACCTTCTGCCTTTTATTTAGCTGCCCCCACCAAAATTACAAGCAATACTAAAGGGAGTCCTCCGGTTAGAAAATCAATAACATCAGATAACAACGCAAGACTAGAACACAGGATAGAGCAACCAGATATTGACTCAGATATGGAAGTCGAAATTACATCAAAGCTAAAACATTGAAAGTAGGGAAACAGATATCAATATGTAAAAAAGGACAACATTAAAACAAAAAAGAGGGACTTAAAAAATGCAGACATAGATTTTTCATATGGAGGGGAAGTCAAGGTGATACAAAGAAATAAAAGACTGGTATAAACTTGGAAAAATAGGGGTAAATATTAAGGTAACCACAAAGGAAACTAACAATCCTACCAATCAAAATAAAAAACTAGAAAAATATAAAGACTCAGCAAACACAAAATCAACAACAATGAAAAAGGAAAAAAAATACACAAAGAAAAACGACTCAGCACAGAAGATTAAGGGGAACAAAGAAACTGTGAACACCACACAAAAAGAGACATCAGGATGACAGCACTAAACTCATACCTATCAATAATTATGCTGAATGTAAACGTACTAAATGCACCAATAAAGGGACGGAGAGTGGCAGATTGGATAGAAAAGCATGATCCATCTATATGCTGCCTACAAGAGACGCACCTTAGACTTAAACCGGACGGGAAAAAATGTATCAAGCAAACAACACTCAAAAAAGAACAGGAGTGGCAATATTAATCTCTAACAAAATAGACATTTTAAAGTAAAATCCACCACAGGATAAGGAAGGGCACTATATAATGATTAAAGGGTCAGTACAGCAGGAGGACACAACTATAATATTTACACACCCAATGACAGGGCTCCAAAATACATAAACTCTAACAGCACTGAAAAGAGAGACAGCTCCACAATAGCAGTAGAAGACTTCAACATGCCACTTTCGGTGAAGGACAGAACATCCAGAAAGAAGCTCAGCAAAGATACAGAAGAGCTAAATGCTACAATCAACCAACTTGATCTCATAGACATATACCAAA